AGAGGAGAGGAAGAGAGAGAGAGAGAGGGAGAGAGAGAGAGAGAGAGAGATGGGGTGAGGAGCAGAAATGTGGAGTACATTGAACAAACAAAGTCTTACGCTGCGATTTCAGCAGGGTCGGGGGTTTGGGGGTTATGAAGTAGGTTTCTTACGGTGCTAGGAGATTCTTCAATAGGTCTTCTGAAAAGAATTAAACAACAGGCTTCTTCTTGAAGCACACTTCAGTCAAGAGAAGTCTAGGGAGAGAGAGAGAGAGAGAGAGATGGGGTGAGGAGCAGAAATGTGGAGTACATTGAACAAACAAAGTCTTACGCTGCGATTTCAGCAGGGTCGGGGGTTTGGGGGTTATGAAGTAGGTTTCTTACGGTGCTAGGAGATTCTTCAATAGGTCTTCTGAAAAGAATTAAACAACAGGCTTCTTCTTGAAGCACACTTCAGTCAAGAGAAGTCTAGGTGTATGTCTGATGTATACTTTTAACTCAAACTGTCAAACAGCTGTGTAATATTTATAATTATTGGTTCATTTTGCCTGTCAAGGCTTTTTTTCTACTGATTTTCATAGAAAAAATGTAACCTAGTGACAGTTGCTATTATATTTTTGTCCACTAGAGGGTACAATGAGACCATACAATCACAGCAGTTCTGGGTCAGGACAGCATGTTGCAGAAATTCTGTCATGTAAATTTATTATTATTTTTTTTTTAATTACAATTCCCACTGAGATTGTGCATATAATTTGGGTTTTAATATTTAGTACTTAATGTTTCAAATTACAGAGCAATTCAGAACTAATTTAAGTCACTTTAAAACAAGTCATGTTTTGCTTCCCTGACTTTGAACGTCTTTTGTGCAACATGACCCCCAGTAAACACATGTTTTCAATGTTTTTTGCCTTTTTTGTAGCCTATTTGACAACATACAAAACATCACATAATATATTTTCGGCCTTGCACAGAAATGCTTCTTTTGTGGGAAATAAGCAGCTGCTATGGATGGAAACTCCTTCGAGAAGAGTCCTAGGAATGGCAATTTCAAAACATTCAGTTACATACTGTTTGCAGATGACATTCTATTGCTGAAAAGAAACATATATAGGATGCCTTCTGATGTGCAAATACTTCCATGCCAGAATGGTGATAAACACAATCTGGTAATTGTCTTCACAGGCTTTTAAGAGAGTATCTGTACCATCCATAAAATGACATTGCTTCAAAATTTATGGAGGAAACTGTTTAGAAAGCACAAAAAGAACATCTCGCACACTACGGGAAGACAGTTTCATGCGCACTGCTGGAACACTCAGGGATGTAAAGAAAAATAGCAATATTCCACTGACAAGAACAGTGGCACTCGGAGGAACATTTTGTATTCATTGCCGTTTTAAATAACCTACTGCAGACTTTCTTCAGCTTTAAACTGCCCCTGTGTATCACTGTTTGTTATATGGCAGTAGTGGGAAATCTCTAAATGAGGATATAAGGAAAAATTACAATTTAGAAGGTTCACTTTAATAAGCTATTCAAATATATTAAATGCCCTGTCTCATTGGATCACGGCTGAATTGTCTATCTACTGACTCGATTTCTGCAGGACTATAAGGATTGTTTCTGACTGTTTTTGAAGTTTTAACTACATATTTTTGTATTTGAAAAAAAAAGGATATATAAAATATATTCTAAATTTATATATATAATTATGTTTTTTAAGCATAAGACAGTAAATGATTTATTTGGCTCTTTTTCTTCAATAATATATGAAATTATGCAACTATAATGAATAACTCAATGACTCCATGAACTCCAAAGCACCCTTAATTGGAAAAAGATGTAATATAATGACCTGACCATATTTTTAAATACATTTTCATCTGCAGCCAGATAACCTTATAGTGGCATATTAAAATAAACAGATGTTCATTGTGCAAGGTATAAAAGCACATAAATATGATCAACAGACTCGCTCTAAACTTTCTTACATCATCTAGCCGTCCTTGTTGAGCCACGTGTCAGTGTTTTGCCTTTTTTTTTACTCTTCTACTACTGATCCTGAATGCATAACTACACTTTTGGCTTAATAAAGTCTATATGAAATAGAGATATATAATATATGGAACAATAGGGAAAACACAAAACTAAAGCTTGTAATTTATCATAATTTTTGACAAGCAATGTTCACACACACTCTTGTACATAATGTGAGTTCAGATTTAAAATTGCCCCCAAAATGTAAATTTTCTTCACAAACAGGATCCTTTTGTTTTTTTCAAACCCCCTGATCATGAAGCAAAGAAATAAGAAGGATAATAAGCTGTAATTTTGTCCATGATGACATCCTCGCAGATGATTCTGCCAACACATTTAGGGATTGTGGTTATATGAAAGCGGTGGAGGGTAATACTATCTCGAGTACGTCAGCATGAATGAGCTCTACTTCTCGCACTTGACCAGAAACATCTGCATTGAAACAAAATAAATAACTAAACAGAAAATAACTCAATGCCTTAAAGTGACATGAAATTAACAATCAATTGGCCATGCAATTCATCAGCAGCCATCAGACACAAACAACACAAGATTCCAGCTGAATCAGACACGGATACACACCTTGAGCCCATTAAAGAACACTAAGCCGTGTATTCTCAATTGATAGAACATGATCTCACAGCAGGATTTGCCCAGCGGCATTATGGGAAAGAAGTGGAAGTAGTGCACTACATTTGAGTGCTGGTCATTCTCACTAGTCATACTTGAGGCTGTCTGGCAAAGATGCTGTAATTGAGTTTTAGAGAAAGTGCTTTCACAGCAAGAACTGCGTCATGGAGAGATCATTGCAAGGTGAGTCACAGAAATCTCTTTTTATACGTCAGGAAAGTCAGAATTGGACACATTTCTACCACAACGGCTGAAATTAAATGAATGACATGACTAACTCACTTCATAAGAAGAACAATCATTCATTGCTTGTTTAATATTATTGATTGTCTAAATGGATCCTCGCTTCGCTGCAAATGCCTGTTCATTGATCATACACTCCAATGTTTTTTCTCTCTATATATTGATGTGCGCTCTTTGCTGAGAGCTCTTGTACATTTACAGAACCCATCTCACTTAGACGGGGATGTGCAACACAAATAGAGGTTTTCATACTTTGCAAACTACTGACCTCCTTGACTTGTAATTTTATAGCGAGCCATTTCAGTTAAGAGTTAAACTCTTTCTCGCAGTCCTTTTGGCTTTGTGAAAGCTGCTTGAATGATCTCATTCACTGAGCCGAAATGCCACAATGGCCCCAGATAATCACTGGGACAGACTGAGAGAGAATCTCTTTGTTCCTGAGAGAGGGAAATTATTCAAGGAAACTTCTGTGAGTGAGTCTAGATGACTATGGTTGGGTATCCGGACCGGAGGAAGCGTTGGGAGAAGGGGAGGCACTGTAAACCGGGAATGTCTTGGACTATTCCAGCTGTCCCTGCGGATACATCCATCCGGAACGCTACAGGCCGAATAGTGTTGAGATTATGTAGCTATCAGCAGGGATACAGTAGGTTCACTAATGTCTCAATCATACTGTGGATGTATAAAGCAGCTGTCGCATTTCTGCTCTATGCCATTTTTCAATCACAGTGTCAGAAACACATTTTGTTGTGAGTTTATTGAACTATCTTAGTATCTTTTCTTCAAGATGTCCATTAGGTGGTTTGACATAATTGCACTGAAGGTCAAATCACAGATATGCAATCCAGATTGCTGAGGAAGCTGTGAAAATAGTCAGAGAAAAACAACTGGAGAGGCCTGTGCAGTGGCAATCTTCAGGGAATGGATGGACAAATGGAGAACTAGCAGGACAATTGAGCGAGAGAGCAGGGGAGAGAGAAAGGGGGGTGACGTATTGAGACATTGAGCAGAATCAATTGTTCACGTGACCATCCCCCACCGTAGGGCACCTTGATCCCTCTGGTGTTAACAAAACACTTGCATACACATACTCTCCTTTATAACACCAGATGTATCCTCCACAATCTCGGTGTCCGAGCCTGAATTGCCTCGACATTCACTAGCAAAGAAAAATGTATGCTATTTTTGGGCTTCTGTAAAAAAAAAAGAAGAGAAAAAGAAAGCCTCTCTCTTCTAACGGCCAGAACGGAACCGAGAAAAAACTCATAAATAATGATTAGAAAGGAAGAGAAGTTGGGTGAAACAGTCTCACAGTTTCAAGCCAATCAGGGCAGTGCCTGACATAGCTTGGTTTAACAGCAGAGAAATCACAAGGGTGTCTGGATAAGAAAGATATAGCGCAATGTTATATTGTAAAGAACAACATTTTGTATTGATTTGTATAGCAAAGTAATTGCATGCTGCAGTGGTTTTCCTTCAGGTTTTCCCTCAGATATTACATTGGGTTTTTCTTTTTGTGTATAATACTATTTTCTAGTTTGATGCTGTCATTCAAGTGATCTTAGTTGTATTTGCACCACATGAATATCTATTTATTTCATAAGAATATTTCTGTCTGTTTGAATACATAAGTCAATTGTTTCAACCTTGCAACTAGACGTCAATGTGTTCAACTGTGTTTTGTGAATATTGTTTTTATATAATTTTACTATATCACTACAGTATGTTACAAATCTGTATTTTAATTACACACTGTCAAGAGGACCTTAGTAAATAGTGAGAGATTTAGTTTTGAACTCAGTAAGGGATCGGAATGATTCACTGGGTGAGACACTTGCTGTCTTGGCCACTTGACTACATGTAAGCCACAAGAAGCAAGTTTCAAGACTGTCCTAGGACTGAAAAATGCAAAAGGTTGATGTCCTTAATGCACACTAAATCCACACTATGGCTGTATCTGAAACTGCATACTTCCCAACTCCATAGTGGGCGAAAGCCAGTATGTGAAAGGAGTAGTATGTCCAAATACAACGTATTCATAAAACTGTATGCTAAAAGCTTCCATATGACCCACTACTCCTGGTGAGATTCTGAAATGTGCATCCAATGGACACTTTACTATCCCAAGAGGCCATGGGAGATGATTTGTGAATGACAGTGAAACCTAATAAGGCCTAATTAGAAACAAACACACAATTAAATACAGTAGTGTCATCTGTTATATAGAGACTACTGAACAGACATTTATACATTATTTAAAAAGTGCAATACAGCTCTCTAATAACTTTTTAGAACACTATGATTTAGTGTGTCCTATCAGGTAATCAAAAGTTCTACCCTT